AAGTCTTTGCTCTTCCTAATGTACACTTGCCTGAGTAAAGGCTTATCACCACCTTCCTCGAAATGCCTTGTACATGTTCATGATTACTAAATTGGGCAAACCTTTGAGCCATTTCAACGGGTCATCCTTCAACCTTGAGAAGCATAAATTCAATTCCCTTAGGTTTTTGAGCTTCGAAATCCAATACGGGAACTCTTGCATTCGACATTGTAAGCTGACATGCCATAGAAAAGTGATAAGATCTCGACAGGTCCAAGAACAATGCTAAGAAAAAGATTGAAAAAGATGAAAATCAGCTTGAGTTCTTTATTAACGATAGCAAAATGTACACCGATATGCGGATCTTCGAGGGTCCGCTGCCTCCCTTTACTTGGAATGGTTCCAAGATTTTTCCAGAAAACAGATAACCGAATGATCCCCTCCCTCCTCTGTTTTCCCTCCCTTTTATACCTTCCCTTATTCACTCCCTACTCACAATCTTTCTTAGCAGCTACTAATACTAACAATCTTAGTAAGCCACTAACAAGCTTTCCAAGTCCTTTTACTCTTCCTAATCAATCACCTAACTAACTAACTTCTAGGAGCCTATCAGAAAGGAGGTGGAGATGAAATGCATTTTAGATCTAAAATTTCTTCTTCGTTTATTGAGTTTGCGTGTAACTTTTCAAGACCTCTCATGTTCTCAAAGGATGCTGCAAAAGCCTTCCCCATTTCTGCAGTCAACTTTCCAATGCCCAAAATCTTTAATTTCCTCAGCTTCTTTAACTCTTTCACAAAACTGACTCCATCAATGCATGGTTCAACTAAATATAGTGTTTGTAACTCCTCCAAACATCCAATCCCTTCATTCATCCTTCCACCAAAAAATGAATTGAAACCATATTCACTTTCCCTGATGTTAAACCTATTAGAAGATAAAAGGTACTGCAATTTTTGAACTGTATCAAGGTTTGAGAGATATTCAACACCTCTAGATTTTGAAGCTTACCAATGGACTTTGGAAGCATTTTTACAGCTGTACCTCGCAAATTTAAGTACTTCAAGTGAAACAAATTCCCTACTTCCCTTGGGAGATGGTCGAGAGGAGCATCTTCAAAATCCAGCACCCTCAAAAGTTTAAATCTTTCAAACAAACTGACAACAAAAGACTCGGTCAATTCATCGATATTGAAGAGAAAGAGAGAACGCATCTTAGAATCTCCAATAATCTCTAACACATCCTTTGTAGTACCATAAATTGATAAACGACGAGTTGTTCTATCGAGTATGAACGTATTTTCCTCAAGAATTTGACAGAAAGATAATTCAGCAACTCTTGCTAAAATGAAATCACGTATCAAATGATGGATACGACAATGTCTTTCAATTCCATAACTTATCTCAAATGAAACCAAGCCTCTACGAATGAGCTCATTTAAGTATTCTTTTGCAACTTGTTCTTGTGTCTTGTCTCTCCTTGATTTTGCAACTTGTTCTTGTGTCTTGTCTGTCATTGATTCAATAAAGCCCTCAGAAATCCAAAGTCTGTATAGTCTTCCCTCAATAATAGAATAACCCTCAGGAAAAATGCCAAGATACAAGAAACAACTTTTAAGATAAAAAGGTAGATTTAGGAAACTAAGAAAGATCAGATCTTTCGAAACATTGGCAAGTTGGGGAATTTTCTCAAGCTCATCATAGAAATGATCAAGCATGCTTTGCCATTCCAATTTGGTCTTTTCCTTTCTGGACAATAAACCAGCTACAGCCACAATAACAAGTGGCCGCCCTTGACATCTGAGTACAATCTCACGGGACAACTCCTCTAATTCTCGGGGACATCTTCCTTCGCGAAATGCATTCTTGCAAAATAGCTCCCAGGCTCGCTCTGAAGACCAAGGTTTTAGCTCATGAACAAAATCAAATGTGCTTTCCTTAACAGAATCAGCAACTCTAGTATTGTGAGTTGTGACAATTATCCTACTACCGTTGTTGTTATTAGTGAAATCATGTTTAATGACATCCCAAAACTCTGTTTGCCACACATCATCAAAAACAACCACGTACCTTTGATTCCAAAAATTCCCTCAAAAGACTAATTAGTTCTTCAATGGGGACGATTTCTTCCTCGGATTGTCCACTTGTTGGGCAAATCACCTCTTTCATGTCCCTTAGAATCTTCTCGATGTCGTATGATAGAGACACAGTGACCCAAACATGACAATCAAAGTGTAGTCTCACCGAATCATAAACTGCCCTAGCTAGGGTAGTTTTACCAATTCCGCCTTCACCAACAAGTGAAATAACTGTACGCGCCGACGGCTCTTCTACCAAACTAGTCATGAGCGTCGTTAATGCCGAATCAATTCCAAAAACTTCACACTCGTCGGGTGTTGCAACATCTGTACTACCACTACTGGAGAGTCCGAAATCATAAATTTGACATCTTCCCGTAAGTTCACGTAATGACTTTTTAATATCTCGAATCTGAGAAGCTATGTAACGACGCAGTTTCAAGGCTTTGACGATCTCACCTGGTTTTCGGAGCAAACCAGCACATCCAGGCCGCTGTTGACGACGTTGCCGGAAGTAATAAAGGAATACATCAATGGCATCATTTATACGATCCGCATTCTCCCTCAGCTGCTCTAGCCATACTTTTGTGGCGTCGCTGATCTCTCCTCCCTCCAAGTTGACTTGTGCATCTTTAAGGAACGCCTAGATGATCTTGAGTTCATCTTCCGGGCTCTTCAATTCTTCATGATTTATTCCTAGTGAGCTTACTTCTTGGGTCAACAACCCATCCAAATTGTCAATTATGGAGGACAGAACCGCATTCGCCATTTCTTCCTTCCCTTTGGCTTCAATAGAGCGGAGCTAAATAATTAGTCTTTACATCTGTATAGTACTGAAATTTTGGACCGCGCCGTGACTATTGAAAATTTTAAATTTTTATCTAATGATTGAACTTGCTCGAGCCCAAATGTTCAAGCTGCCCAACCCGATCCGAGTAAGCCTTTGGACGGACTTCGGGCGAGTTTTGACTGTCTGAGCCCGGTCGGGTAGCCTGAGACCGGTCAAGCAGCCGGAGGTGCCTGACCTAATTTTTTAATATTTTCTATGTATTTATATACTATTATATATATTATATATAATTTTGTTTATTAATTATATATGGTATGTATATAAATAATTTTTAAGTTATTTATTGTAAACATTATACAAAAATTATAAGGGAGATTGCAATTTGAAATTTGAAATACACGAATTATATAAAAAAATTATTTATTTATTAATTTTTAAATTTGTAATTCATGATTGTCTCGTTAAAAATCTTATCAAGAAAAATCCAATTGGGATAAAAACTTGGTAAGGAAAAAAGAGTGTAATCATTCTGGGACGAATTACAAATTTGACGAACTTATAAAGTCTATACAATATTACAATAACACTATACAATAACACTATACAAGATTACCTAATGATTGAACTTGCTCGAGCCCGAATGTTCAGGCTGCCCAGCCCGATCCGAGCAAGCCTTTGGACGGACTTCGGGCAAGTTTTGACTGTCTGAGCCCGGTCGGGTAGCCTGAGACCGGTCAGGCAGCCTGAGACAGCCTAAGGTGCCCGACCTAATTTTTTAATATTTTCTATGTATTTATATACTATTATATATATTATATATAATTTTGTTTATTACTTATATATGGTATGTATATAAATAATTTTTAAGTTATTTATTGTAAACATTATACAAAAATTATAAGGAAGATTGCAATTTGAAATTTGAAATACACGAATTATATAAAAAAATTATTTATTTATTAATTTTTGAATTTGTAATTCATGATTGCCTCGTTAAAAACCTTATCTAGAAAAACCCAATTGAGATAAAAACTTGGTAAGGAAAAAAGAGTGCAATCATTGTGGGACGCATTACAAATTTGACGAACTTACAAAGTCTATACAAGATTACAATAACACCATACAAAATAAATAAATATTTACAAATTACAATAATAGAATTTAATTTGAAGCTGAATGATCGCCTTCAAAATTAAAAGTTAATCTATTAAATTCATCAATCCATTCTTGGCTTGCCGGCGAAATTGTATCGTGTAAGCGTTGGTCAAAAACGATCTCAATCCTTAACGTACACCAAAGCTTCAACAATGTCTTGTTGCAATGCCTTTCTACGTTCCTCAAGTATTCGGCCGGTCGTACTGAAGGCTTGCTCGGATGAAACAATGGAAACTAGGATCGAAAAAATATTTATTGCCAGTTGAGTTAGGATCGGCCAAGTTAATGCTCGCGCCCTCCACCACTGAACCAAATCAAACATTTCACTATTGTTGACTACTAAGCCCTCACTCAGGTAGTCATTAACTCGTTGAAGCCGCCATTCTTGAGGAAGATCCACTCCCAGATTCTCCTTAACCTTGAGTCATCGTCGTCGTCTTCTTCTTCTTCTTCAACCCGAAAATATTCAAGAATGAATGCGGATTGTCGTCTCGTTGTTCCGGTTGTTCTACACGAAGTGAGTTTCTAAACCTACTTTCATAAGAGCTATAAAGAGATAATATTTTTCCCTTTATAATAGAAAATTGGTCAAAACAGTCGATATCTAAAAAGTCACCTAAGTTTTTCTAATCCACTTTCTAAACCTTTTAATTTTAATCTAGGATCAAAAATAACACAAAAACCATACAACATTGGTAATTTAGCCCAATATTTTTTAAACTTTTTTTCCATAGAAGCTATAGGAACTCCTAAAACCTCGTGTGTCCTGAATTCACTAAATAAAATAGCCATTCTTAAAAGTTTTACTAACGCTAATGGTGACCTTGGGTAATATGTTCCACTAAACTTTAAAGTAACTTCGTGAAATCTACCTAAAAAGTTATACAAAAGTTCGGCAATTTGCCAATCAGTTTGGTCTATAAATCCTAGTTCTAATTTTACACTAACATAGTTTGTTATAGTATCTTTATAGGGGATGCATTGTTCAAGCATTATATAAGTGGAGTTCCATCTTACGGGCATATCTAAGGCTAATGCTCTAGGATTTTGATTACATGCTTGTAGAAACCTAAATCAATCTTGTATTCTTTGATTACTACCTTGAATCCATGCAATGTTATCTCTAATCTTTTAATATGACATGACATTGATTTTAAACCGGATTTTACTATTAAATTAATTACATGACATGCACAACGTTGGTGAAATATATCATTATTATCGAATAAACTTAACTCTTTTTTAAAAAGTTCTATTACTTTAGTATTTGCAGTAGCATTATCTAATGTTATAACCATTACTCTATCCCTTAAACTATATTCATCAATGACAAATAAAATTGTATTATATATTAAATCGGCGGTATGTGATCCTAGAACACATTTAAAACCTAATATTCTCTTATCTAAATCAAAACCTTTAAAATAATGTCCGGTTACAGCTAAATAATCTTTGTTGGCAATAGCATACCAAATATCCGCCGTTAACTCAACGCAACCACAAGTAGAGTGTAAAAGGTTGATTAATGCTTCCTTTTCTTGTTTATATAATTTTAATGCATTTTTTCTAAGAGTAGTTCTTGAAAAAATTATGCATTAGGATTATGTACAATTTTAATATAACACTGTCAATTCCTTTGTTCGGTAAAATTAAGTGGCTGATCTAATGTGGCTACTAATCATGCCATTTCCATACGATCAACTTACAGATTGTATTTCTAAGTGCTTAGACCGCCAATTTGACAATCAAATGATAATTGTGTTTGGCGGGGATCGGGTCCAACTCTTTGCTTTTGAAGACACTTTTCAGAATGTCTTCTCAGGTGTGTTGTGCTGTAAATAGTGTTACCTTATAATTTATCACCATAATATTTGCATTAAACTATGTATTTAATGTTACCGTGATTGTTGACCTCCTCGAATGCATTGAAGTGCTCCTAAACTATTGAGGTGCACTTGCATTTCTTCTTGGAACTTGCAACACTTGCACTAGCACTTGCGCTTGCCTCTTCTCCACGCCCACCATCATTACAACCACAAGGTCCACGACCTCTAATACATCCACCACGGCTCGGATTTACAGTTTCCTCAGTAGCTCTTTCTGGTATTTGTAATTCCTGCGTTTGAAAAACATTAATAGGAAATTGCCCTTCTTCAATGTTGAATTGGGCATCAACGGGAATATCACCACCATAACCGGAAGAATCCATTATGAAAAATAAGAGAGATCGAGAGCGCTTTGAGATAGACTAAGAGAGATCAAGAGAGATCTTAGAGAGATTAAGAGAAATTTGAGAGAGATTAAGAGAGATTTGAGAGAGATTGAGAGAAATTAAGAGATGATGAGAGTTTTTGGGTGAGGAAAATAGTTGGGGGAGGGGGGTATTTATAGAGAATTTTTTGGCTTGAAAAAAAAAAGGGTATTTATAGGAAATTTTTTGGCTTGAAAAATTTTTTTTCCCTTAAAAAATTCGGCTCTAAAGGTAACTTAAATTCGGCGGGTCGGGTCGGGCTTTAGGTTTCTCAGGCAACGGTAAAAAAAATATAGCCGTTGGAGTCAGGTAAACCGGGCGCACGGGTCGGGTCAGGCAAAAATAGCCGTTACATTCAAAAATTCGGACGTAAATCATGCTAACGGTCAAAAAAAATATTTGGATTGGGTTCGGATCGAGCATAAAATTTAAAAAACTAGCCGTTTTTTGGGTATTCGGGCAAAAATTAAGGCTTCGGGCATTCGGATACGGTGGAAAAATTCAAATAAAAAGCGGCAGCCGGCGGTCACAGCGCCCCCACCCACGGCGGGCTGCGGGGAATGTTTTTTCTCGGGCTGTCCAACTCCGAGCCTGGGAAATTTACGTGGACGGGCGGTGATAGGTGCTCGCCCGCCGAACCTGAAAATTTTCAGGCTTTAGGCACGCCCGCCGCCCGAAGTTCCATCACTATGTATAACTGTCAATGCTGAATAATATTGACTTAACTGTAGCCAACTTATCTTTAAAGAATTCGTAAAGAATAGTAATCTTATGCAGCTTGGCGAGTTAGCATTTTGTAAACCAGACAAAAGGCTTAATAATATTGACTTAACTGTAGCCAATTTGTCCTTAAAAATTTCATAAAGAATAGTAATCTTATGCACCTTGGCGAGTCAGCATTTTGGAAACCTGACAAAGCATGATAAGGATAGATTAAATGGATTATGTATAGTAGAACCCCGATAAGTTCTTCGCCATTGAGTATTACTTTTTTAACTGTTAAGTTAATTTTTTAACAGTTAGATATTTAGAAATTCATATTAAAAATCTACAATGTTTTGTATAAAAGTACTCTTATTATAAATTTAACTGTTAAAAAAATAATTTAATAATAAAAAAAGTGCTCCACTGTTAGAGCACTTATTGTGATTCAACCTTAAAGAATCCCTAAATTAAATAGATGTAAATGGAGGACTAGAAAAAGTAAAAAGTTAAGTGAAAGTAAAGTTTGAAATTAGCATTCTAAAGGGGCATGCTTACTGTTTTCTAAGCTTTTTCTGCAATTCCACAAACAAGAAAAGAAACATAGCCATCTATAAATAAATAAAGGAAGGAAAAGAAGAAAAGAAAAGAATCAGAGAGCCATCTTTTCCGCTTGAAATCAAATTTGGGCCCTAAAATATAACCCATAAAAAATAAAATTCTAAAATAAATAAAGAAACAATCAATAAAAGAAAACCTAGTTAAAGGATCAATCTCCACCACTAGACAATAGAATTATAGTAAATACACACTATTATCTCTAACTTCCAATTGAAACTATCAACCGTAGATAACAACAAGCTCTGCTATC